AGACAAATTTACGCTACCCACTTCCCCGAAGCGGCTAAATCAGCGTTTAATTTTCCCTTGGGGTACTCCGGTGACAATTTATCTGTCGTGTGCAAATATGCGCTACCTACTCTTCCAAAATAGCTAAATTGTGATGCCAAAAATTTTTTTCCGATTAGTCACGAACTTTTTCTCGTCGCTTCGGCCAAAGTCCCTCAGCGCTACAAAGAACAAAAGGACTATTGTTTACTACTTAATGTGTGAATTTGAGCCGGAACAATAGACCATTTCTTGATACGTCTTCTATACAGCTTTTTACCAGTCATTATTTAGCGCGGGGGGCGGGGTATGGAGGATTCTTTGTAGGGTGGTCACATGGTTTTCAGGGGGGTAGAAGGGGGATCAGATGTCGCCAACAGAGTGTAAAGAGATGGCTATAGAAAACTCAGTGATTGCCAACCAATTTCCTTGGGGGGGAGGGGGAATCAAGAATATTGCGGAGTCTGAGGGGTATCAAGTAAATTTTATCGTGACACAACTAAACTCCTCTGTCCCCCTCCCCCCCACTCCGCCAATAAATGATGACCGTTCCCTAGATGAAGGTCATGAGAGTGGAGACGATGGTGACCAACTGAAGATCTTGATTGTTAGATGAATTCTTCTTTTCAACACCACGGAAAATGTATAAAAACAGCATGGAGAATATGGATACTGATGTTAAAGAGTAAAAGGTTCATAGTCAAAATTCTAGAAGCCCCCCTCCCCCCACATCACCATCTTCCCATCCAATAACCCCCCTCTGTGTTGACTATCTCCTGTCCATAACTCGTATTTTAAAGACTCAGTATTTCCAGATTATGCCAATCAAGTTTTTTTAATGTTTCTTTAATAAATCGTCTAATGGTGTGACATTTGAAAACCACCAGTTAAATTACTGCTTGAGTAAATGTTCAGATAAAAAGCGAGTAAGTAAACTTTCCTGCCGACACTATCAGTTCTTCAGAAAAATAGCGCTACCGAGACTATTTTACTTGTAAAATCGTGCTAAAGAAATAAAGTAAAAGCAATTATTTCACTTCCACGATCTACTTTTGTTGCGTTAATTACGGCACTGAGGTCTCCAAAACAGGGGATGTCGTCAGTTGTCATCGCAGTTGGTCAAAAGACAAAATAACAGGAAATAGGAGGATTTCTCCGACAATCAAATAGAGCACCAGAAGTAACATCACAATGTAGAAACCTGCCAACGAAAAACAGAAAATGAATTCTTTGATCGAATTTTACGATCGAGGAAATGGAAGATTGCCACGTTGCAAATGAGCCCAGGAATTTACTAGGTACGACGTAAAATTTGCGGAATTTTGTTTTCAGACTTAACATGTCGTTCAAAGGATGCATAATTTTTCAAAACCTGGCGCGAACTGGTGTGGCCAAGATATCAATTAGCCCGTCGTGGACTCAATAACAAAGCCATCATCATCAACGACAGAGTAAATAGATATCTTG